CGGGTGGCGGGGGGCTAGGCCGGTAAAGGTAGCCTTGTGTGCGCCTCCAGAATAAAGAGGTGTCGGAACTACTACGAAATTCTGGGGGTGGAGAGGGACGCCAGCGAGGAGGACCTGAAGAAAGCCTACCGCAAGCTGGCCCTGAAATTCCACCCTGACAAGAACCGGGCTCCCGGGGCGACGGACGCCTTCAAAGGTGAGGTGGGGGCCGGCCCGGTTCCGCAAGTAAAGCAGGATTAAATCCAGGACAGCCTTGCCTCAGGCTTAGAGTTCTGCGCCTTATATAAAGGCATCAGAGGGGCCCGTATAGCTTGTCATTTTTATAGGCGGGTGTGCGCATCTCCATGAAATCCCGCAGCCGGTCGGCAAGCTTTGCCTCTTAATCTTCAGAATCCAGATTCCCGTTAGAAGCAAAGGGAAACGGATCCCAGATCTCATTCCTGGATGCTGCTGAAGGTTCAGAATGATGCTTGGAAACGATAGGTGTGGTGTTGTGTAATCAATAACTGCTCTGTGTCGTAAATAAAACTCACATATATGTGTGTATGCAAGCACATGAAATTTGAGTCCAGTGTTCTGTGTCTGGACTCTTCGGTAGCGTTGCCATCTAAACCTGAATCCACAATGTTAGCGCCTAAACTCTTGCATCTTTTGCCTTTTCCATCCTGTGTTGCAGCTGTCTGCAGCAGCGCTGTAAGGCGGCGCGAGGAGAGAAAGGTACTCATAGTCTGTTAGAAGAAGGAGTTCCTGAAGGGCTTTTCTTTATTATTTTTATTTTGTATGAGGGTTGTATTTCACCATGAACTTGTTTACAGCCGCATTCTGTCAAAGATCAAGGAAAAAGATAAACAGAACGATTTGACATAAAGTGTGAAACAGATGTGCTGTACAGCTTCACAAGCACCTCTGCCGACAGGAAAACTTGGAATGTGGTTCTGCGTTTTAATTAGTCTCAGCAGTTATTAACTTTGTATTAACTGCATATGGTGGGTGGAGGTGCACTTCTGTATCAGTGCTTAGTTTGATCTGATGAAGTGTTACGTTCTCGCTTGGTCTCCTGACTGAAGTGGACTCCCTCACCTCAGTTTTACAAATATTTCAACTCTCTCCATGTACTTCAACACTTTTGTCTTTCTCCGGGTATCGGTGATAGCAGGAAATAGATTCCGTCACAGGTAATGCCAGTGTTGTAACACTTTTTTTACAAAGGCAGTTCCATTAAAGTAACTCAATCTTTGGTCAAGCACAGATCTTCTGTGCCTGTTTGGGCTTTTTTGCTACTCTGCTTTATAAAAGTCTGAGATCTGGAAATACCACGTGATATTCCTGTGTAACGCTTCTCTTAATTCACTCCCCAGCAATAGGCAATGCTTTTGCAGTTCTGAGCAACCCTGAAAAACGATTGCGGTACGATGAATTCGGAAGTGACCAAGAGCATGTCAGCACTGGCCAGGCCAGGCACTATAATTACTACACCGAATTTGAAGCAGACATTACACCAGAAGAAATATTCAATGTGTTTTTTGGTGGGCACTTTCCTACAGGTCAGTATCTGTCTGCAGCGTTTTTGAAATGCGATGAACTGACACTAGGCCATAAAGGAAGTTCAGCTTCTCTTGGTACTGCTCAGGGAGTTGGTTATATATCTGAAAAGAGAAAAACTTTTTCGGATTTATTCTTTTCTCCCTTCCTAGCTTTTTATGCCTGGAAAAGCTCCCTTAGTGCACGGTTTAAACTTCAGATTTAGCAACTCCATTCCCAAAAAAATGTTGCCAAAGCCCAGCCTTGCTGTCCAGGAGCACTCCTAGGAGAGAGCTGCCAGTGGGGTAATGGCTGTTGCTGCCGGGGCAAGTTCCTAACCTCCCAGCCTCTTGGAAATTGCTGACTGTACTCGTCAGGGGTAAGAACATTTTAGTCTGGCAAGGGGCTAGGCTGTTTGACTCTTGGGTAGGCAACATTTTAATACCAGCTGGGGCTGATGACCCTTCTTTTTGTTCTTGCTTTTATTCCCTCCATTGTCTGAAGCCAGCGATTGTACAGGAGGTAAAATGAGGTGTGGATGGGAAGGGATCAGAGGTATCTTTGCTGATGGTGATGTACTTTAGACACCTTACTGCACTCTGGTACAGCATGGCAGCAGCTCCTGGCATTGTGGGCTCAGTGCCCCTGTAACTAGGAAAAGAGAGGAGTTCATTTGGCTTGCAGCAGCTTGCATACTGTAAAGAAATTAGAACTTCTTAGCTTAGAAAGTGATGCCTGCCAGGAAAGGCTGGCTGTTAGTGGATATGCAGTATCCAGTAACAGAACAGTAGATCCGTACCTGTGGCAGTTCCGTGCATGTCTCAGTCCAGCCTTGGCTTTTGTATTTGTAGTAAAAATAGAAAGATACTGCAAGATCAATGGAATAGAGGTTTGGATTACAGGCTTGTGTTAAAAGTAAAGGTGTGGTGAGCTCAAGGGTCTTCCTGGCAATATCTAACTAATTGCTTTAGCACTCTTGTAAAACTTTTTCACCTCCAAGGCATAGTATAAAGCAACATCAACTCCAGTTACTACAGCCTGAAGCCACAGATACAGCTAATTACTTACAAGCTCCCCGTAACCTTAGTCTGTGTGGCAGCATCTTGCAGCTCGGGGGACCTCACATTGTTTTCAAAATTTGATCGGTGGATGTGCAAAGAGAGACAAGCTCAGCGTGGCATAATTCCACGCTGAGTTTGCAAGTTTTCCACTTCTGACTTTGCAAGAAATTGCACCTGCACGTGCCTTTTCCCTCGGCCACCAGTGAAACATCGCTCTCGTGGAACATGACTGCTATGTAGCTGCGGGCAACAGGGATGCTTGGAGTTGGGGACAAGAAATTGAGGGGCTGTGGGAGGAATTTGGGTGCTGGGCATGGCAGGTTTAGTGGGTGGAGTGGCATGAAGAAGTTAATGGGAATTTTTATCGAAGTGGCAAAGAATAAGAAAATAAAAAGATACACGTGTTGGTAGTAAACAGTACTCACAAAAAAAAAAAAAAATACGTTTGGGCCTAAGTTTATGTACGTTTTCCTAATGTAAAAGTGAGTTTTAAATTACGAAAGATCATCAGTTCAATAGTTTTCCAAATAGGCAAAGTCCACACAGTTTCTACTTAGCAAGAGAATTATTAGTAAGAGGATGTCCAGATAGTTGACAGAAAGAGAATGTTTTTTAAACTGTGGTAATGTTAAGTAGGACTTCCGTGCGTGAGCTGAAGTTTGTGCCAAGCTGCAGTGTTGTGCTGGTTTTTGTTCTGTGACACCTCACTATCACCAGGCTTTCTGGAAATCTGAGTAAGAAATGTTGGTGTTAGGGTAAACTCATTTCTGTATCTTTTGTGGGCAGGTTTGTGGCTTTGTTTTTACCGTGCATTTTTCCTCTGTGGCTATTCAGTGGAAAAATACTAAAAGTTAAAATGTTAAATGTCATAAGAATAAAAGGAGACTCTCCATGTGGCATAGTGTTGCAGTTATAATGGGTAGAGGCTACAAGTTGAACTTCCTTCTCATAAAAAAAATAAATGCACATGGAAGGAAAGAAACTGCTGGCAGAAATTCTTTGAGAAACTTAGGATTTGGGAAAACTTTTTTCTAGGCACCCTGCAAAAGCCATTCTTCTCTTCCCATACTTGCTTCTGTTTTTTCACAGCTCGATAAAATATTGTCTGAGCGGTGTTGAATGATAGAAGCAAACTTTCTTTTTCAAGAAAGAAAGTTTCACTCTTCAAGCCAGCCCTGTTCAGCTCTCTCTTGGAACTCTTGACTGCAAATGTGCCCAGACCCTTGGAAAAATCCTTGACCAAGCAATGAAACAGATGTTTTGACACAACAGCAAAGGTCACTTCTGCCCAGGTTTCTTGCAGAACTCTTTGGGAAATTCAGAGAAAGGACAGCAGAAGAATGTAAAATAATGTGACATCTTTCCCAGGGCTTAAAAATAGATTTGCATTTCTGTTGTCATGGTAAGGCCGTACATTTAAATTCTCTAATACAAAGACGTTCTGAATTTCAAAAGAGGAGAGCACAGCTATTACGGCGATAAAATCGGAGTTGAAGCTTCAAATCGAAACAGCATGTGCAATTCTTTACTCATTTTAGAATTTTTAAAAATAAATCAGCTGGTTCCGTGTGCAAGAAAGGAAATCCTCAATTGTACTACTTTTTTTTTATACTCAATTTTTAAATCTCTTTCCTTATTATGGAATCATTAAGTGAAACTATTAATAGCTTGAAGGAAGAGGAAGTAGAAATGAGTGTAGAAGATCAGATTCAGTAATTATGGGAAGCCATAATTCATGGCCTGAGTCTGATGAAGCAAATTAATTTTCCTGCTTAGACCCTGGGGATGCAACGCAAGCTATGGCTTTGCAAGTGAACGTGACAAAAACAGTATTAAAATATGAGATGTGATAGTAAAAATTATAGCATGTTTCTACAGTTCGATTTAAATTAAGACAGACTTGGGGCAAACGTTACGATTTCTCTGGTGCGGTTTTTGGAACGACGTACTATTTTGACATTTAAGTCTGAGGCGCATTTGCGCTTTTTAACCCGAGGTCTCACAACTGTAATTCAGGCCATGTAGTACAAGCCTGGATAATCAAGTAGAAACTCTGAGAAATACAGGTGAGTACCAGCAAGTGGATGAAAATGGTGACTCTCTCTCGGTTTCTTTTAACAGGAAATATCCACATGTTCTCAAATGTAGCCAGAGATGCACACTATTATCCACGGAGGCACCGAAATGAAAGAGCGTGGACGCAGGAGCAAGAGGAGGAAGAGAACAGGCCACAGGTAGCCAGGAGGAGGGATCTCTTGGGCTTAAATATTTCACCAGGGTGAGGGGGTCACTTACACATCTGAAGCCAGGACTTTCCCATCCTTGAATGCTCAGTGTTTATCCTCAAGTGCTGCAGCCAAAACGGATGTTTTCAAACCTAACTAGATTGTCTTTTATTAATCACTACTTTAAAAATACTGATAGGATTACAGGCCCCAGAGGTTCTGTCATCGAGTGTTTTGCTGATGCTTGTTTTTGCAATCCCAACAACAATTCATCCAAATGTGGACTGACAATGGATATGGAAGTACTGGCTTGTCCTCATGGCATATTTAATCCTTCTGTAAATTAGCACAAAGCTTCTGCCCGGGTGCTGCGCAGGCTTCTTCCAGCCCCAGGGCAGGATGGGTCTGGGATACTTCTATACCAGCTGAAACCTCCAGATGAGACACGAGGTATCCTTTGCTGCTAGCACACATGCGCGCATGCCACCTGCCTTGCAAAAATTTTCCTCCAGAGGCAGCCTGTTAACCTAACAAGATTGTTCTCCAAGGAAGATGAATTTTTCCCTGTGAGGCTCGTATTCAGGCTCCGAAAAAAAACCCTTGATAGAGCCTATGGACAGCTAAGCTAGGGCAAATGAATCCCACCTACTACTGTGTCAGGTGTTGGTATCCCAGGGCAGAGGGCAAAGCCTAAATAGCCACGTATTATATTTTGTTCCTGATTAGAAAAGGCATTTTAGAAGCCAGTTTAGAAATGAAATGAAGAGCAGGAGTAAAGATTTGTGTTTTCTCTTTGATATTTTTTTCTGCTCTTCTGTTCTACTAAATTGATTCAAACAAAAAAACCAAGTGCTTGCACCCTGTCCCAAGTTACACAACATGCGGTCACTTAAACCTTTACTTTTCAGCCATTTTATCCAGCATTTGAACAGAGATAGAGGTGTTTAGAATGCATATAGCAAACTTCAGAAAATGCACGGAAAGCCATAGGGACAAATGGGAATTGCAGTGTGTTCCTTCAGTTTGAATTGTCAGCGGGTCCCTGACAGGTACAGTGCTGTGGGCATCGCTTGCCTTGTGAAGGAAGCTGTAGGTGAAAGAAATGTCATGAAAATATAATTGAAAGGAAATGGCTTTAAAGAGTTTTCTGGGATTTATTAATAAAGGTCATTTTGAAGCTTAAATGTCCTCCCTCTCAAAATTCAAAAGTACTCCTGCTTTTTTTCTTTTCAGTTTACATTTAATACATTGTTGATCTATGAGAGATAGCCTGGTTTCTGTGAACAGATGCATCCTTTTCCATCCATGTCTTTTCTTGACTTCTAATTATTGTTGTTCTTTTCAGAATTCATATTCTGCATTTATTCAGTTGATGCCAGTTTTCATAATAATAATAGTGTCCGTTATAACTCAACTGATGGCCACAAACCCACCCTACAGCCTGTTCTACAAATCGTAAGTCATTTAAAAAACACCTTTTTCGGGTCCTCGGTGTTTGCGAGGAGGAGGCCGATGGAAGTTGGACTTGATAGCGAAATGCGTGTGTGTTCTGTTCTTTGTAGAAAGTGTTACCGATTTGTAAATAAGGAAATACCAACAGTCTTTATTGACGAGTCCTCCCAAGCGTTATCGCTGTGAAGGTAACTGTGGTGTGCTTTATTGTGCTGGGTGCTGAACAAATAAGAGGCACTGAGCCAGAAAGCTTT